AAAGACATTCGTCTCTCCGAGATATATTCCCTTGGGTCAGTTGAACAGACACACATGGGCTGCGGCCGCCGCGAAGCCCGCTGGTCGGTGGTTGAACTTCAGCATGGCTCAGTTTGGGGTGGGAAAAAGTCGAGAGAGTCTGCTGAAGACGGGAGCTGTCGAAGGTTGACGTGCTGATAGCATCGCATCTGCCAATACGAGGGATCGGAGGGCTAGTATGATCTCAGGCAGACACCTCCAAATGAGGATTTCGTGTTTTTTTCTGCTTTCGTGATTCTGAGCCATGAGAAACCCTTGGCGTAACGTTGCCTCTTTGGGCCAGGTACTTCCAAAGCCTGAATTTACTAGGGTCTACCTGTGGCCCAGCGACTCCCTTGCTATAGCTTTCCTATCAAAACGGCCCTCTCTCTTAATGACGTTACCAGCAAACCTATTCGAATCTTACCAGACATTACTAGCATTTGAATTTTCAGCAACAAACCTATTTTTCTTTCGATCGTATTTTGAAAAGTTCGATGCAAGATCTAATTCTTCACCCGTTTAGCGAATTTCGGGTGTTCGGTGGCGATCCTATGTATTCCTCAGTTTTGCCATAGACCAGTCTTCGTAGCCAACTGTTTACATTTTTGCTTTATTTCAAGATTACAGTTCATGAGTTTTGGATTACTTAATCCTCTTCTGGTAATTCCTGGTTACTTTTGAATTCTATTGATTGCCAAAACTCTCAATGTAACTCCCAATGAGAAGCAACTTCCTGGAAGAAAAATCTGGCTCCTCTCTCCCAGATAATTAGCTTATTTCATTCTATCCTTCATATTCTGACCCAGAGAATGCTTAATTAAATTGACTGTTTAATTATGACGTTTGGCTGCTCTCTTTGAAATGCTCACAAACCTCTACTTCTTGCCCAGAACGGCCCGATTTATATAGGGAAGGGATTCTCTGAGGACTACTGCTTTCAGTCGCATGAAATTTCCTTTTTGCTCTTGTATTTTCGGTCGATCTGTATCAATGAAATTCACATATTAATAATTTCCAGGCTAGGAAATTGATAATCCGTTAACGTAATCCGTTCTAATTAAACAAAAGTAACCGGGGTACAGGTGGATGTATAGTTAGAATAATTCTCGGGAGTGATTTCCCTAAGACGACTCTTCTGAGAGAACCATTTTTGATATTTACAGTTGTACATTCTCGAAGGCAATCGATTCGTCTGCCAACAGGACTTTCAAAACGCCACGAAAAGTTCAACACCATCGTCAACATCAAATCGGCCGGGTTCGTATTTCGTAGCTCTTTTATGCTTTTGGATTGGAGTTCATTTTTGAAGTGTACCTCTCTGTAGATAGGGGATTATGTTAATTCGAGACAAGTTCGTGGCGGCACTCTCGCTGAATCGTCCACAAAAGACTGAGGCACTCAGCTGTGTCGAATCACCTCTCTCTGAGCCGCCCCACGCCACCATGCCGACTAGCCCCGGTCGAGTTCATCGATATGTCTAGTGGTTCCTGTGCCCTAAGTGGAACGTAAATGGGGGTTCAGGGGAAGGAGAAGCATGGGGTTCTGGAATGGCGGCTTCGCTTGGGGTTCTGCATTACTCACTGAGCGCTTTCATGATTGAGCACTGGCACAGGAAAAAAGATACGGTCAGATTTGCAGCTGGAAAGTGCAATGAACGCAACGGGCTTTCTGAATATTGATTGAGCAATCGGCGGTCAGCTCATGGTGCAGCAGAGGAAGAAAATGATTAACGTTCGGGTAGATTGTGACAGCTGGAATGCTCTAGCCTCGCTGAGGGGGATCATGCAGGTAGTGGCTATTCGTAAATTTCACTTGGTAGCGTACGGGCAACGGATATAAGCTTATGACACTTTGGCGGTTCCTCATTCTATTTCGGTTTGGTGAGTGATTTCCAGAGCGGCTTGAGGACGAGCGAACCAGTTGAGTGTTTGCGCTGGGACAGCAGCTGTGAAATGATTCTATGAATTCAGCCGCATCACGCAGGCTCGCAGTTATGTAGCGCCCAGAGCGCGTGGATATGAGTTAAGTACGAAAAAGGCTTTTTGGATATGCCATTGCACAGTAAGCAGCTCTTTTGCTTCTTGAGAGGGAGAAAAAAAACGTGGCTTGGATGGAGCGTCATGTTTCAACCGTGCAGTTGTGATAGGGTCATTCCGTGGTCATCCCACCCAATCAGGGGTTGCAAAAAATTAAAATGTTCCAGCTGGTACCAACTTTTACCTTAGTAAAATTAACCCTGAAATGACACTAGGCGTGGTCGTCACTATTCTTTGGACTTGTTTGAGGGCGTTTAACTTGCAGTGGAAAAATAGTTTCAGTTCTGTAAAGCCTTGTAGTCGCATGCTAAACAAGCATTGACACGTGAGTATTCCAACGGAATAATCCATTCTGCGCCATGGGTTCAAGTATGAAGCCTAATGCAGCCACGGCGCCCAGACCCCCACTGGATTTCCAGGTATATAAGAATAAAGTACGCCAGTCGTCATCTCCTTGCACTTATAGGGGCGTGTCGGCGAGAAGGAGCGTGCACACTGTTTGAAGCCTTCTCAGCCTTTTCGTTGAAACGCGTATGCGACAAAAAGTGATAGAAAACGAGTAACACGAAGGATATAATACAGTAATGTCACTTCCTGGTTCAACGATTGGTGCAGTACGGGTGCGGGCGACCGCGCCGCACGCAGCCGCACTGACATTGACTATCAAGTGCAAGGATGACGACTGTACATCAATGCTTACTCCCTGTTAGCTGACGCGAGCTTTTTGCCAACAAACAACATTTCGCCCGTCGTTACTCGAGCTGCTAGTATCTCCTGTAATGGGACCAAGTGGCATGAAATTCGATTTAGCAAATTTTTTGAGCCATGCCTAGCTGATCCCTGAAATTGCACCGCTGCTGACTCAGCTGCTCCTTTAGAGTGTTCGCGCTGTTCGGTTAGGGGAAGGGAGCGTGCTGGTGACTTACACGTTTCACCTTGATGGGTACTGTAAACTCTCGGTCAAGGAGAGTGCAATCGCATACTTTAGCACAAGAGTCTAGAGTCAAGGGGTACTCCAACAGTAATGGTACTACACATAATCGCTTTGAACCAATGCCCCACCAAGGTCAAACCGTGCCGGATTGGCCTCTTACACGTACCCCGCAGCAAAATGAAAGTGGGTACCACTTTGCAGCGGATCATAACGTTCGCTATCACACCAACCGGTCGTGAGCACTTAAATAGTAACGATGCCTGCTCCATTACTCCAATACCGGAGTACTAGCAGTTCCGTTCGAGGGAATGGGGAAATTGGATTTCAGCTGCAGCTACGCTTGAAAACAGAGTCAGACTCAGAACTAGGTCTCATTTCCTCCCACTCTGCGTGCCCACGCCAAACCCACTACCGTCAGCTGTCCCGCGCTGAAGACGAAGCCGCCATGAGTTAATCCATGTTCACAGCTAAGTACAGTAATCCGCCGTCGTGTTTGCACATCTGGGTTAGCGCGGGTTTGCCGCCCGGGTACCAGGGATTTCTTTGAGGATCTATCTGTTCCTGCATTCTTCATCACTGCTCAGCAAGCTGTGGTCCCCGCAACTGGAAATCTATTTCAAACTTTTGAGGAAAAACTTGAAAAAACTAAAAAAATGGGATTTTCTTCGGGGAATCAGTCTCCAATTCCCAATAAAGCCCATTCTTTCGAGTCCACCTGACCTGCTCTCTCAGGAGCGCTGATAGGTTTTCTGTTTATCTTGATTACTTCGATAAGGTGGTTGTGCTCCCCATGAGGCGTCTAGGATAATTTCTACTCATTTCCAAAAACCTTCCTCTCTTCGCTTAAAGCATCAAAATTGTGGCGCATTTGTTCAAGGTGAACCTCTCACAGTTTAGCCTCCATCCAAGAAATTGCTTTTTCAGTATCTGCCAGTTCCGGATGTAATTCAGACGCTGAAGAAGAGAATGTAGACGGGTCAGAAGATGTGAGTATCTACTGACTTCAGTAGAACAACATCTACTCCAGAAAGGGGCAGTGATCGATTTTCTGTCATTGCCAGGTGCCTGTCGACGAGACCGAAGGCGGTGACGGCGAGGGAAAGGACGACGCTGCGGCTGCGAAACGACGGGGACCGCGGACGACTATCAAAGCCAAACAGGTGCTTTTCTAGTGAACCTTTTTTCACAAAAACTTCTTATTGGATTCCCAGAAAATATTTCGAAAGATTCATGCGAGTCCTGTAGTTGACATTACGGTAACTTCCTACGGTTGAAGGAGTGCCATTCTAAAAAGTCAGGCGGGCTTAGTGCTGTTATAAATGCACTTCCAGAATTTTGTTCTTATGAGATACCCCGTGGGGAGTACTGAACTGGGTTCAGGACATGCCTGCTGTGACCTTGACGGGAAAATCGTGCCCGTCAGGTAAGGCACCAGCTAGCTATGGAGGCAAGTTTTCGTGTAGTTCAAGAATGTGAGCAGCCGCGCAGTCATGACATGAACAGCTCAGCAGGGTCCAAAAGGCATGAATGAGCGTGACTTCATATAAACCCAGATTTCTGTACTTTCATCCGCGTTATATGGGCTAGTGAAATTCGGAGTGGAAACTTCCAAGGAAGGAGGAAACATTTTTTCATCCTGCTATTTTCACATATTACTTATTGGTACCTGTCAAAGTGACCTTGAAACTCATATTAAGCTTGGGGAAATGAGAAGAACTGGGAAATTCATCGAAGGCGGTGAAGAGTGTCGCGAGAAAGTACGCAGACATCACAAAAAAGAGCCTCTGGGACCGTTAAACTGAACTCAGGATATGTGGAGGAGGGGAAAAAACCTTCAAGAGCGAAAGGAGTCGCTCACCGCATGCATACAGATAATCGTTGCGCTAAACGCTCAGAGAAATACCATTATGGTTAAGGCACTTCATCAGTTCCCTCATAATTGCGTGGTCGAATGTTTGCCCCCTCCCCACCGCTAGGAGTGGAAGGTCGCATTCTGGTGTTTCCTCACCCTGTCCTTCCTTGAAGAAAACGTCAGGAAACAGTAAAGTAGAGAAACGCATGTTTTGCATGCTATCTTGCTTTCTCTCTCTCTCTCTCTTCTGTCTTTTCTGAGAAAACGGTGTGAGTCTGTCGAATTCGAACGAGTCCGCGCAGTAGAGGCAGGCAATTCGATGGTCTGACTGGATTTCGCATTGGCTTCAAATCGAGCACATTCGAATTGATATAGCTGCTCTACCCACCGACTGAAGTCGGACTCACCACTTTTTGGAAGATGGTCTACTAAAAAACTGAATTTGTGAATTTCTATAAGGTTAAAAAACAACAAAAAATCGGTTTCATGAATGCTCTGATAGCGCTTGCCCGCTATCGGACGAGCTGAGGAGAGGAGGGGGGGGGTAAATTCTGTGTCGTTCCGTGTACAGTTGATATCATCGCAATTCGGCGTGGCAGTACCTGGAGGCGTGGAGTCAGCCCACCCACGACATTTTCTACCACTGGCTCCTTTATACTTGAACAAGCTCACTATTGGAAGAAAACGCAGCCACGGGCTCATACCACACCTACTGACACCGCCACGCGAGACTGCAACATCAGCTGTGCTATAAGTACTACAAAATACCGGACCGGCAGAGATCCCGGAATGTTCAGAACCGCTAATAATGAGTGTTTCTTTTGCTAAACCCCTCTGATAAGAATGATACATGCCTTATGCTGAAGGAATGGGTTTTCCTGCTCCGAAGCTCATGTAGACCAAGGCTTGGGCGAAATTCTCATCTTCCTGGTTCACATTCTCTTATTCATCTCACCTTCCAGTACTGGATGTCATCCAACATTTCAAGGACCCTAAGAAGGAGCTTGTACATGAAACTGGTTCCGTTCCATGGATTAACAGAAGTTCAAAATTGCCTGATATGAACGCAAAGGTTTACTGCCTCTCCCAAAACGGATCGATGGCTTAACTCCTTCACTCCTTCGACTTTGCCTACTTATCAAATTAATTTAGAGCTAATATAGAAGAAATACACCTCGTTATGAGTGCAGCTGCAGTGGTGATCAAATCATGTATAGCAACCAAGCTGCAACAGTTTGTGAGGAATTCTTCCGAAACCGCTCAGCATTGAATTTCTGGTAGAAAAAAATAAGAATAGCGAGTTATCTAGAAATCCAAAGAAAACATGTGAGAAGAAAAGTCAACCAAACTGGCCCTAGAACGATGTCTACCGTAAGGCGTCATTGTTCTGAATGTTCTCTACAGAATTCTTTCGGAAATTCTCTCACGCCCAACCATGGGTACGGTAACTGTCCAGCCATGCGTTATGACGATGACTAATCAAGTTTCCTTGTCAACGCGATTTTCTCATGTGTTCAGCGGTATTGATTGGGCGGAAATAGTTTTTTCTTGGAGTAAATGGATTAGTTTCCCGGACAGAGAAACCGCTAGTTGTCCTTGGTTACTATATAGCATTTCATTTTCAGTTGGAGACGTTGAAGAATGCGTTCGCGTCGACGCCAAAGCCAACACGGCATATTCGGGAGCAACTGGCACAGGAAACCGGGCTCAACATGCGGGTCATACAGGTCAGTTAAACTACATTAGCATTCATGTACACATTCTGGTGGAGTTCGGCGACGGGGGGGGGGGGCGGAAATTTCGCACTTTTGCTGCTTCACTACTTCCCGGTTCACAAGTCTCTGTGGTGAATCTATAAACGCTCGTGAGTGAGCAAGCTTGTCTTGGCCACCACGGCAGAACCTGTCAACTCTTGTAAGCCCGAGAAATGCTTCCTAGATGGTCGGCGTCATGATAGCAAACATGCAAGATTCTTCCCCCCCCCTCTCGCTGCCAATTGCCCCTACGCTCCTTCTTGATTCCTGGCCGTGCACAGTCTGCATACTTGCAAAGTCTACTGATTCTGGCGTTGTCGGCGCTACTGCAAAGACAGTGAATGAAGCTTAAACGAATTCTACTCATCGAATTCTCAGACACCAATAATAGAAATAATTATTATATGGGCTCGACATAACGACTAACCCTCTCCTGGGCTTTTTGGGAGAAAAAAACCCCCCTTTTCCGGGGAAATAAATCCCCCCCCCCCCGCAAATGTGAATTTTTCCGAAAAAACTTCAGCTCCCAGTTTTTGTTCTGGTGCTGGTGAAGCGCTGATACTTCTTCAAACTTATCGCACTCGTTTTTAGTTCTTCAATTACTCGGAAGAAATACAGTATATCTGACAATCCCTTCGTGTGTAGAGTGGGCTTCTAGGCGTGTTCGTAGTTGAGCTCAACTGTCGACCTTTCAGGACGTTCCATATAAATTACACAATTACAAATCTGTTATTTTTCCCCCTCAAAACTGCCGCCTTGAAACCGGTAATGAATTTTGATGATCAAAAGATTTTTCAGGGAATTTTTTTACCCGATTACACACTTAAATTCGCTCGTTCTAGGAAAGCCGAATAACTCCTGCTATCACCTTTTTACATTCTTTATTTTCGTTTAGTTCTGAATTGCACAAGAAATTTCCTAGTTTTCCATGCTAATTCCATTTAAGTTTTCTAAAATATTTCTAGGCCCCTCCCTTGACCAAACAAGGCAATGCCATATTCTTACTGAAACACTTTGAAATACTTATCGAAAAACCCCATGGCACTAAAACTGAGGTTTTTCGCCGAGCCGTACTCTACTCATGTGATCGGTATCGGCATCCGCTA